TCTACCTTTATGCTCTTGTTTTTAACTACAATTCATCTCAACATATCTTACTGTAATGTGCAAATACATTTACATACCCATCTCATGAATTTGAGCCTTCATATTCATTAGGCTGCTTATGTTAACACCTAGTAGTTTCTTATGACATCTAATGAAGTCCTACTCCAACTTCAGAGGTGGTTCTTCAGGAACCTCTGGATCTTGGTCACATCGTGATCACGGTACAATTTCACAGTAGCACAGTATCGTCATGATGTGCTGTGGTATGAAGACATAGCTTGTGTACAGTGCCATTCCCACAACAAATCCAACATAGAATTGAACACAGTCTGCTCCCAGGGCTCCAGCATGTAGCACGTGGTGACGAGCAGGTACTGGTGGTAGATGCAGGCCATCTGTTTCCAGGCCTACGCCAGCACCATTCTAGTTATGCGCTTCACGTAGTGAGGCTGATCATCAGTCTCTGGAGACTTGGTTTATGCAGGGCCTTTAGTGTACTTTGGACTTCTTTCTACAGTACCATTGGTTCTTAGTCATATACTACCTATTGAAATGGAAGTCCTGGTGTGGCACTGTGAGTTAATACATCAGACTGCATAGCCGTTTGAACTGCAAGATTGGTGGTTCAAGCTCACCAGCTACTCCTCAGAAACCCTATACTGGGTCACTATGGGTTGGAACCGAATCAATGGCACTTCACAACAACAACAACCTGTTGAAATGGTTGGACATCAACCAATTCCTTCCATCATCTTTTTATGCTTCCTATATTATTCATTATTTTGCTCATAGAATCCTTCAATATTTCAAGTTGAGGCTTGAATTTTTTTCTCCAGTTTTTTCAGCTGGAGAAATGCTGAGTGTGTTCTTCCCTTTGGTTCTCTAAGTCCAAGTCTTTGCATATTTCTTACAATACTTTACCTTGTCTTCTCGAGCAGCCCTTACGATGTTATGTTATCCCACAACTCTTCTGGTCTTCAGTCATTACTGTTTAATGCATCCAATTTGTTCTTGAGATGGTCTCTAAATTGTAGCACTGTGGGTTAATGGACTGGGCTGCAAGGTTGCTTTGAACTGCAAGGTCAGTGGTTTAAGCTCACCAGCCACTCCTTGGAAATCCTATATATGGTCGCTATGAGTCAGAAGCGACTCGACTGCACCTAACAACAACAACAACATACTTATGGTCATATTTTGGCTGTGTAGTTGTTTTAATTTTCTTCAGCTTCAGTTTGAACTTGCATATGAGCAATTGATGATCTGTTTCATTTCATTCTGATGAATTTCAACTTTCCTAGATTCATACTTTGTGCATTCCATCTTTCAATGATCAGTGGATGTTTACAGTTGTTTCTTCCCATTTTGATGTGTGCCAGCCACATCAGTAAATGAAGGTCTCAAAAGCTTTGCTCCATTCACATCATTAAGGTCAACTCTACTTTGAGGAAGCAGCTCTTCCCCAGTGATATTTTGAGAGTCTTCCAACACTATAGCTGACAATGTTTTCCCTTGGTATCTATCAGGGTTTTCTTGGCTAAACCTTCAGAAGTGTTGCCTCTTCCTCCTCCTCTGTCTTCGTCTGGAAGCTCCAGTGAAGCCCGTCCACCGTGGGTGATCCAGCTTCCAGCCTCACACCAACACACAATCCACCACAGGAACAAACAAACATTGAAAAGACAATGAATTTCTTCATGTATTATCTATCCATGTAACCATAATTTTTTTAAAATAAGGAGAAAAACAAAAATCACACACCAAATACAATGACTGAAGAGAGCAGCATATTATACCTGTGACTGCTGTGTTCTAATCAACAATTTAAAACCAAAGTTTGGATTTACTACAGATGAGGTTTCTTGCTCTCATAAAGGTTTACAACCTCGGAAACCCTATGTAGACTTGCTAATAGTTGGAGTCCTAGTGTGGCGCTGTGGGTTAATGCGCCAGACTGCAAAGCTGTTTGAACTCCAAGGTTGGCAGTTCAAGCTCACCAGCTGCTCCTCGGAAACCTTATACAGGGTCGCTATGGGTCGGAACCTACTCAATGACACACAACAACAATAGTTGAAAATAACTCAATGGCACTTAACAGTAACAACAAAGATGCTTATGAGATATTAAGTTTTTAACCTGTTGTGATTTTATTTTTTGTGTATTCCAATAAAAATTTATTTAAAATATTTAGAAAAACAATGGACTGTAATTTGCCATTCCTGATATGAAGTAGTACTGTTCAATACAACTTTTTCAGAACGATTATCTTTATAGTCTTTACAAAGCAATACTTTATTTTTATCATTCTAAGAATAAACGCCTGTTGTGACTTTAAACATGCATGTGTATGTAGCAGGTATTCAACAGTAGCTGTTATATGTCTGAATTAAAACCTAGAGATCATGATAAATAATTCAATCCCAAAAGAAACGAAGACGATTTTAAATATATTTTAACTGACATCTACATAAACCCATAAAAAAAAAATCAATATTGATAAATAGGAGCTCTGCTAGTGCTGTGGGATAAGTAATGAACTGCTAACCGCAAGGCTGGCAGTTCAAACCCACTAGCCGCTCCAAGGAAGAATGAAAAGGCTTTCTATTCTTATGAAGATTTATAACCTTGCGAAACCTATACAGGGTCACCATGAATTCAAATTGACTTAATGACAGTGGATTTGGTTTCTGGATATGTGTTGGTAAGAACTCTTATTTTTATTACCTCTTTATCTTTCATAAAAGAAGAAATTTCTGGAAGGGCAGGGGAGTTGCCCTGGGGCACACAAACCTTTTTGGTCCTGAGATAGGCTCTTCTAGCGCAGATCCTGCCTCGTCTGGACTCCAGCTGATGGGATTGTCTCCTGAGTTCCTTCACCTCCACCTTCTTATCGTTTCTCCACCCCTCGGCTTCCTCATTGACTTTTAGTTCCTCCGGACTCTCACATGTATCATAATAGACAACTTCATCCTGTTTCTCTAGAAACACATTAGTGAGCGAGCGTGCGTATTATAAAAGTAATGAATGTTCATTTTTCAAATATAAAGTAGAAGCCCCTTGTAACCACTACCCAGAGATAACCCTTATAACATTCATACACACATCTGCACACACTACAGACATACCTATTCTGCTAATAAACACAGCTTTGAGAAAATTTCCAGGTCATGAAAATAAAATTTTAATGGCTACATAGTATTCTCACATTTAAATATTCTCTGTGGTTACAATGTTTTCATTTTCCATGTTATAAATTTCATAGTGATGAACATCTCTGAATTAAAATCTTTTATACTGCTCTTGCAAATAAATACTCAGGACCCTTGATATCTACTGCCAAAGTGCCCTGCAGAAAGGCGCTTACATTTTACCAACAATACATAAAGGCGCTAAATGATATCAAACATATCTTAATTTTTTAAAAGTAATACAAGGGGTGTACTGCACAAGTTCAAGTACTACATAATTATATAAAATAAAATGAGTTTTCTCCCTCCCTGCCCAAACCTTCTGAATCTAATCGCCAGAGGGAAAAAATTATGGACAATTTGGTGTGCATCCTTCCAGATTAACTTTTCAAAATATAATTTTTCTAAATATGTAAGGTGTTTGTAACTTGAAACTACTGCAAAACAAAGTTTTAAAACTGAGGATTAAACTAAGTGTTCAGGATCTACATAAATAAGATTATTAAACTTGGAGGAACTTTTTTAAAACTTAAAATAAGTGGAGAGACATACCATGTTCTTGGATGGGAGGATTCAAAATTGCAAAGATGACAGTTCTCTCCAAATTACTCTCTAATTTTAAGTACAATCCCAATCAAAATTCCAAGTTATCTGTTTGTTTTGAACATGCCAAAATGATTCTAAAGTTCATCTGGAAGAATAAAGGAATGAGAATAGTAAGAAAACTGGTGGGAAATGGACTTACAAGGAGGGGCAGCACTTCCTTTACTAGACACTGAAATGGACTTCCGAAATACAGCAGTATGATACTGGCACCAGAAGCCACTCACAGATCAATGGAAGGGAATCCAATCTAATCATTCTACATATAAGACAGGGAGCAAATCAAATTAATTGGGAAAATTAACATTTTTTCCCTAAATTAGTGATTCGGACTACTAACAACTTAAAGGGAAAAGGTTCCTACGTCATCTCCAAATAACTTTCATCTGTATTAAATATAAAGATTTATAAAATAAAACCATGAAACAATGAAAGGAAAATGTAAGGAAATATTCACATAATTTGAGGATAGAAAGACTTTGCTAGGTATAACACCAAAAGCAAACATCATAGAGGAAAAGATTGATAAAAATCAAAATCAAATATTTCTGCAAGGCAAGCAAAAGTACAAACTATGCACAACAGTGAAAACTAGAAACCTTGCTCTGCCTGTATAATGGAATGCTATGTAGCCATTAATATTTTTGATGTCTTTATTACTTACTGAAATGCAAAGATGGTTATCACATATTAATTGAAAAGAGGTTGCTAAGTAGAATATACAGTTTTGGTTTAAAAAATTGTTACTAATTTATATATATAAACGTTGTTGTTGTTAAGTGCCGTCGAGTTGGTTCTGACCCATAGTGACCCTGTATAAGGTTTCCAAGGAGCTACTGGTGAGCTTGAACCGCCGACCTTGCAGTATCAGACAGCTTTGTGTTCTGGTGCGTTAACCCACAGCGCCACACCAGGGCTCTGTATATAAATATATGTTGTTGTTATTCAGTGCCATCTAGTCGGTTCTGACTCAGCAACCCTGTATCGGGTGGTTTTCGAGGAGCAGCTGGTGGGTTTGCACTGCCAACCTTTTGGTTTCCAGTCTAGTACTGATCTTATAGTACCACACTTGTTGTTGTTGTTGTTAAGTGTTGTCAAGTCGATTCCGACCCATAGCGACCCTATAAAGGGTTTCCAAGGAGCAGCTCGAGAGCTTGAACCGCGAACCTTGCACTTCAAACGGCTTTGCAGTCTGGCACATTAACCACACCAGGTCTCTCTCGGTCTCTGTCTCTCTCTCGGTCTCCCTCTCTCTCTCTCTCTCTCTCTCTAAAACTATTATCACTAACCCTAGATGACAGGAGTGAGGTGATAATAATTGCTTTTCATTTGTTTCTCTATGTGCTTAATGATGGCTACAGTATTTGAATAATAAAAATGCTGAGGAGCATTTCATTTGGGATATCTCGGTAGGTGTTAAAGATAATTTACAAGAATAATTGATAATATGGTATACATCTCCCCTGCTTTTTCAAAGTTCACTTTACGGCACTTCACTTTAACAAAAGACCTACACTAGCACTTTTTTTCACTAAGCAAAAGAAATCTGCAGAGGATTGTTTACTTTTACAAAAAAAAAAGTGAAAACTAGCATTCAGCAATTGTTTTGCAGGGAGCCATTAAAGAGGAAGCGTGCATGCCTGGAGCACTGAGAGCGGCATCACCAAGCTCCTTCCCCAGGAACTATACTCAGCATGTCAGCATCAAACTGTTGGGAACTGAGTCTGTGAACATTCCGTTAGTTCTTCGCTTTATACCATCTCAGCTAAAGACAGTTTTCATAGAAACACTCTACTTTGGGGGAGTGGGGGAAACCTGTATGTATTTCCTTAAATCTTAGAAGTCGCCAGCAGCTCCACTGGAAAAAGATGTAGTTTTCTGTTTCTGTAAATATTTATAGTCCTGGAAACCCTATACAGGGTCACTATGAGTCAGAAGTGACTGAAAGGCACACCACAACGTTAATTTCAATATTCTAATATATACAAAGAAATAAATCTTACCTTTTATAAGCCTTTTAATAGAGTCCAATTGTGTAATAAGCATTATTTCTTCATGTTGTAAGATCTCGAACTTAACCTCATACAGCTCTAATTGAACTTCATAATACTGTATTTCTAATTCATCTACAACACATTTATTTTTTTCTTGTTCTGGAAGGTCTTCCATCTTGTTTTCATGGGAAAAATAAGAGTGAGTTAAAAGACTTAGTATATTCAAAGCAAATTCTAGAAGCATTCTAGTTTCTGTACCTTGCTAGGTACTAAAGATAAAAAAGCAAACATTTTTCTATTTTACTTAGAAGACAAAAATTCAACAATATAAACGGTCTCATCCTTGAAACATGAAAACATTTAGGTGTTGAGAAAACTAAGTTACAATGAGGCATTTATAGTATCTTCTTCTTTAAAATTATAGATAACAGGATAAACTCTGGGTGACTATAATGGCCAGACTTCATCTCTTGTACTTTGGACATGTGGTTAAGAGGGATCAATCCCTGGATACTGGAATTCCAATCATGCTTGGAAAAATGGAGAGTCAGTGAGTGAAACGGAAGACCCCCAAGGAAATGGACTGACACAGTGGCCACAACAATGGGCCCAACATAACACAATGGTTAGGTGGGCGCAGAACCAGGCAGTGTTTCCATCTGTTGTGCACAGGGTCACTGTGAGTCGGAATCAACAACAACAACCCTGAAACAAAGCACCTCTTTGATTATTCTAGAGTTGTGCTGAAAACACTGCTTGATCAATCTTAAAATATATTATCTACAATGCTGAGTTCAATGTTGTTATAAAGTGGATTCCATTGTAGGGTAAGTGCTAACATCAAGGTGGGCAGCTCAAGCCCACTAGCTACTCTTAGAAAACCCATAGAGGATCACTATGAGTCAGTGCAAGGAGCTCTGGTAGCGATAGTACACAACAACAACCATGCAATACTCCAAAGCATCTTAATCAATGGGACTCAATGGCCAACTTTCAATAGTCTTTGAAGCTTCTGACTGAAAGGTTGACGGTTTGAACCCACCAACCAGATGCTCTGTGGGAGAAAGATGTGGCCATCTTCCTCCATGCAGACTTCAGCCTTCAAAACGCTATCAGGGGAGTTCTACTGCGTGCTCTGTGATTGCTATGAGTTGAAATGGACTTGGTGGCAATGAGTTTGGGGTTAACTTATCTACCAGGTAATGGTGTTGGAGAAAGTGAAGAAAGGAAATTCTTGAACAACTGGCAACAGAGACGCTCTGTAAAATAAAAATGCATTTTTAAAACAATGTGACATTTGCCTTCGTCTTACCTTTCTCCAAATGTCAGTTCTTTTATGATTTAAGCACAACTCTTTGGCTCTCATGAGTTGCACAGTCTCCCGAGCTAACATTAGCTTGAGTTTTTCTAACCTGGGAGTTACTGCGGCCCAGGAAGCCTGGCCAAATCTCTTTCCATCCTGTTCCATTTGTTTCTGCATTCCTATTGGATCATTAATAAAATTAAAAATTACAATGTACTAAAAAGGAAAAAATTCACTGAGTGAATCCTTTGTTTACTTTTCTCCCATATTACCTACAAAACATCCTATTTGAAAAGAAAAATTATTTTATTTTAATAAATTTTTATTATCACAAAAACAATATGTCAATTGGTAGAAAAACACAGAAAATCTATTTTAAAAAGAAAATAATAAAATATGATCTGCAGAGGTGATGGCATGGAGAGATGGAGCAGCTGAGGACTCTAGACTCATGAAAATAGAAAGGCTGTGTCCTGGCTGCCAGGAGGCAGGCTTGTAGAATGTGCTCTTTGGTTGTTTAAATGATTATAGATCTCTGAATGTTTTTGTGTACATCAAAAGAAAAACAAAACAAAACAGAGGGAATCGAAGCATTTACTGTTAAATGATGATGCATGGAGGGGATTTTAATCATTGCAATGAAACAAAATACAGTAGGATGAGTGCAAAACTGATGTTCTCCCATGTAAACTATCACTCAATTCACAATAAAAGCTTTAAAACAAAAACAAAAATATAATCTAACCTACTCAAGGCAACTGCCTCTCACATTTTGGCATATATGGATCCAAACTGTTTCTCTTGTTGTTGATAAGTGCCATCAAGTTGGTTCTGACTCACAGAGACTCTATATAGGGTTTCCAAGGAGTGGCTGGTGAGTTTGAACCACCGACCTTGTGGTTCACACCAACCTTGTGGTTCTGTGCTTTATCCCACAGTGCCACACCAGGACACTGTTTCTACAGGTCTACCTAAAAAGACAGGCTTATATTGTTTGAAAATAGGATCACCATTGTTTTATAGTTTGTCTAGTTTACTTAACATATCAAAGATATGTCTTAAAACATGACATAACTTGTTATAAAGTAGATTTGGAGGGTCATACTTAACATCTGGTGGAGCATGGTGGCTCTGTAGGATAAGCACTGAACTGTGATCCACAAGGTCAGTGGTTCAAGCCCACAGGCCACTCCACCATGAGAGAAAGATGAGACTTTCTGCTCCACAAAGATTTAAAACCTCAGAAACCCTACACAGGTGGCTATGAGTCAGAACCAACTTACAACACTTTAACAACAACAACTTAATAGATACACTGTTGCTGTTAAGTGCCTTCAAGTCGGTTCCGACTCATAGTGACCCTGTATAGGGTTTCCAAGGAGCAGTTAGTGAGTTCTGAACCGTCGACCTTGTGGTTCATAATATTCCATTTTACTGATGTGTCACAATTGAAGAAACTGACTGATAAACGTTAACTATTGCCGACAATGACTAAGATCCAACAGAGTCCTCCACCCAGCCTACAAGACCCACATGGCCTGGTCCCCACTTGTTCCGCCAGCATTCTCCCTCACCACATCCCCTGTGTGCTCTGCACTTCAGCCCCATGGGCTTTCAGTTCTGCAGACTTGCCAAGCTCCCTCAAGCCAGAGGACCTTTGTGAATGCTACTTATTCTTTGGACCAAGGACACCCTTCCCTCGTTTAGGCATTAGGGCAGGTGTCACTTCTTGGAGGCTTCTGCTGACCACCAGGTGGAGACCCATCTCTGAGAGGCCTTCGGGGTCCTACATTTCTCTTCTCCGTGTCACTTGTTGCCTTTTTCCATTCATTTGACTAAACCTATTATTAAGATTCCTCTTCCCTCACCAGACTCTACAGTGTCTGTGTTCATCCTTAAGTAAATGTCTAGCACCTAGAAAACACAGTGCCTGATGCTTGTGAGAAACTTTCCTATGTAAAAGGAAATGGACATGTAACTTAATCCAGCATTTTTTTGATTACCTGCTAATGCTTTTACTGTTTCCTTAAAATAATTCACTGTGATGTCCTGAACAGAGACTACAGCTTCTTCAGCCCGTCTACTCCATTCTGTGGCTTCCTTCTGCAGGGCAGCCACTCTTTTAGGACCCAGATCATCCTCATCCAAGGACTTCTACAGAGAGAAGGGAAATTTATTGGTAAGAGAATAGCAAAATGCAGCCATTAGGAAGCTGAAAAGAAATTATCCAGCACACCTTTATTGAGTATGCATAAGGCTACAAGCTGGGCGCTACCTGGAAGACAGGGGACCCTGGAAGTACTGTAGGGTAGGCGTGGACTGCTAACCACAGGGTCAGCAGTTCAAACCTACTTGTCACTCTGCAGGAGAAAAATGAGGCTTTCTTCTCCCATAAAGATTTACAGCCTCAAAACCCTATACAGGGTTGCCAAGAGTTGGAACCGACTCGAGGGCACCTAACACCACCACCCCCGGAAGACAAAGGAAACTCTGGGGTAGAAAAAGACTGCGGTCACTTTACATTACTTGTTGTGTTGTTGTTAAGTGTCCTCAAGTCGGTTCCAACTCGTAACCCTGTATAGGGTTTCCAAAAAGCGGCAGATAGGTTCAAACTGCCAAACTTTCGGTTAAAAGTTTAGTGCTTATCCTACAGAACCAACTTTTTCTGGAGAAGTAGGCTGGGCCCAGTCCCTGAAGAACGACATCATGCTTGGTAAAGTCAAGGGTCAGAAAAAAAGAGGAAGACCCTCAACAAGGTGGACCGACACAGAAGCTACAACACTGGGCTTAAACATAAGAAAGATGGTGAGGATTGCAAAGGATTGGACACTGTTCTGCTGACCACAGGGTCACTGAGTGGAAACCGACTGGACGGCACCTAGCAAACACAACAGACAGCCCATAATAATCCACAACTGTGTAAGTGAGCTCCGAATGAGGCCTGGTGTCCAGTATCAAGTGTTAGCTGCTGCTAGGAGCCCTTTAAGAACATGGCAGTAAGGTTT